CACGAGTGAGCAAATGCACACGGAAGTCCCTATTCTACCAAACGCACGGCTCAAACTTCCACTCGCAGCTCCGCCCCGCACCCTCCCATCGGTCCACTTGCAGAAACCCTGATCTGGAGCGCGTCAAAGGAGGTATTTCAACGGCCTGTGATCACACAGCGAAGCCAGAACCGACCCGTCTGTGCCTCTGAACGGGTCCACTGTAACCAAAACGTGCGCCGGGTTCACCCCATGAGCAGCCCAAACCGAGCGTGTGACGGGATGCGCTCGGGTTTGTCGTCACGGTCTGACGTACACGGCCGGGAGCGGGGATACCCTGGCCCTGTGGGGAAGATGCCTTCGGGGCTGGGGAAAGAGGGTTGCTGCTGCTGTTGGTTTCTGTCCCTGCTCGGGGGCCTGCTGGGTGTTTACGGGGACAGCGTCACCCATCTGATCGTGACTCACGGGGTCTGTCGTCAAGGCCAAGCGTCACGCCACGCGTGTGGGAGGAGACGCGGCCGTGCAGCCCCAGCAGAGGTGGCAGTGGAGGCATGGCTCCCCCAGGATCCCCAGGGCCATCAGGCTGCCCCCACCTGGCCCAGAAGGAGTCTGGCACACGAGGAAGCCTCTCTGGGGCTTTCATTGCGTCCCGAACCTCGTGAGAAGGTCCTGCGGTCAACAACAAACTGTACCTCTCTTTCTGGCTGAGGACCCACGAGGGCATAGACACTGTCCTGAGCAGGTACCACGGGCCCCGGACCCGTGGGGGTTTCTCAGCAAGTGCTTGTGGTGCGGATGCTTGCACATGTGAAGGTTTGGAGTGTTTTAAACGTTTATTTTTGATAGAGAGAGAGAGACACACACACACAGAATCCGAAGCAGGCTCCAGGCTCCGAGCTGTCAGCACAGAGCCCGACGCGGAGCTCGAACTCACGAACAGCAAGATCATGACCTGAGCCGAAGTCGGACGCTTAACTGACTGAGCCACCCAGGCGCCCCTGGATGTTTTAAATATAAACACAGATTAAGAAGGTGCTCGGGGCACATTCCAGGCCCCCTGAAATAACGCATTTAGAAACACACCGCTCAAGTTAGCCGCACACAGGTTCCCCGTTACTGTTAGTGCAGGGCTGAGTGGGGGAGGTGGGTGCTGCGTGGTCCATCTGAGCCCTGCACTCAGGAAGAGCAGCTGGTCCACCGAGGAAGGGCCCGCGGACAGAGCAGAAAGCAAATGCTTTCACCCGGAGCTGGAAATCTCTCTGATCGCCACAAATACAGAGGCAGGGAAATTAATTCGTTCACACCGCAAAGGCCACTGTACTCTTTTTTTTTTTTTTAATTTTTTTTCAACGTTTTTTATTTACTTTTGGGACAGAGAGAGACAGAGCATAAACGGGGGAGGGGCAGAGAGAGAGGGAGACACAGAATCAGAAACAGGCTCCAGGCTCCGAGCCATCAGCCCAGAGCCTGACGCAGGGCTCGAACTCACGGACCGCGAGATCGTGACCTGGCTGAAGTCGGACGCTTAACCGACTGCGCCACCCAGGCGCCCCGGCCACTGTACTCTTGACTGCGTTGAAGGATGGCATTCCTTTTTAAGGTGGTTGTTCCTTAGGTGCCAAACTGATCCTTTCGCATTTTACTGCATCGCTGCCAGTGTGAAACCCGTGCGATAAAGGTAGGGGGACCGGCCATCCCGGGTGTAGCCCCGACGGTCCTGCCTGCCTGAGAGCCCTTCCAGAACGGCCGGGCACCCCAGTCTGCAGGAGGAGGCTGGGCTGACAGAGGGGCGGAGCATTTGCAGCCCCGGGAAGACCAGGGACCGCCTCCGGTGCACACAGCCCTCCCGACCACCCTGGCCTGGAGCCCTCACTGAGCCCAGGAGCTGGTGAAGGGTGATGTGCACACACGAGCACCCAGGGAGAGCTCTGCCCACGTGGTGTGGACCCCGGAGCCCACAATTTATGGCACTTGCCCCAAGTTTACAGGGCCCTAACAGCCCAAAGGGTAAAAGGGAGCCGAAGAAAAAATACGAGGCAAAGTCCCAATGACCTGAGCTTCCCGTGCCGTGACACAGCCCCAAGCGCGTTGGCTGCAAAGCCAAGAGGTCACCGGGGTCCACGCCGAGCAGAGAAGCAGCATCTTGTGAGCAAATACAGAGATGGGCCCCGTTGCCTGAGTTGCACATTTCTCCCCGCGCCACAGATCTGCCGTTCCGCGTAAATAAGGCGGGCAGGCCACTGGGAAAGAGGCACAGGTGCGTCCTCCTACAGGACAAAGCACTGGCTCCAGGCGAGAACCTCGTGGAGGCTGGAGTGGGGGGGCTGTTGGTCACTCGGAGCACCCAGCCCCTGCCCTCCAAGGTCCCGTCGCCATCAGCGGGTCTCGCGTGACTTTGGTATGCACAGTGCAAGGGGGAGAAGGGGTCCTGGGTCACCGGGTAGAGCAGGGACCCAGTCCTGTGCGTCTGTGTACACGGCGGTATGGCTGGGAAGCGCAGTGATAGAGAGCGAAGGAACGTGGTCCCCCGTGTCACACGCATCCCGGCCACTCCTGCCCAAGGGCGGCTGGTAAACCGTTCAGGCCGTCAAAACCTCACACGTGCCATTTGAATGTGGACGGCACAGACCGTCCCAGGATGGATGAGGCAGGTCACAACACTTATGCTCATCTGAGAAACAATCAACAGGAAGGCCCTGAATGCCATTTGAAGCAGCAGAAAGAAAGTGGCCGCCCAGGACCTCTCCTGCAGCGGCCCTGCTCCCAAGCTTCGGTCCAGACGCACAGGGCCCCTGCTGTGCCAGCCCCACACCCACCGGTCCGTCTGGTCCTGGCCCCCCTGTCCCCAGCTCAGCCTCACCGAGAGAAAGCCCGAGGGTTACACCTGCCGCGGTACTGCCCCGCTGTGCAGCCTCAGGCAAGCTTTTCGCCCCTCTGGGCCCAGGCTCCTTGTGAGTCCTGCAAGGTACGCACGGTAACGGTCGTTCTGGAAAGATCCAGGGACCGGTGAAGGAAACGGCACAGGTGAGAAAGGGGACAGTCAGTGGTCATACGGTCACACTCGGCATTATCCAAAATCCAAAGATGTCACATTCTCTCTGTCCCATCCAAAGCTCAACTTCGTTCGCATCTGGAGGTGAAGTCACTCGGCCAAAACACCTGAAATCTGCTGACCTGGAGCCTCACCTCCCACCCCTGCCTGCCCCCACATCTGATGTGGATTTCCCTCTGAGAAACTCAAAATCATCCCCCAGGATCAGCTGGGGGCGGTGGGGCCCGATAGTTGGGCTCTGGGCCCCTCCGGAAGGACACCACGGGCCGGTGACCCAGTTCGATACTGGGAACTGTGGGGGCGGGGCTGCCTCAGGTGCCGCGTGGACAGCCACCTTCCTCAGAACCCCGCGGTCTCCTTCTTAGGACCCTGACTTAGCCACTCACCTCAGCTTGTTGGGATATGTGTACTAAGTTCATCAGTACGTAAATTCCACAGAAATGAAAGAAAGCATATAGAAAACCAGAAAGGCCCCCGTAATGTTAGCAACTCTCCCCCCTAAGGAGAGAGAATGTGACATCCTCTGTCTACCCCTGCCATTCAGCCAAGGACGCTGTCTTTCCCCCCCACCCCATCCTGAGGGGGAGGGGGCTGTGTGTCCAGAGATGACTGGCCAGCATCCGTGTCATGGGACGTCTGGGGTCCCTACCGAGGGCCACACGCACACAGCCATGAACACAGCACGGTCACACAGGGACACAGCTCTGGGGGCTGGCCCAAGCACAGGGACCATGCCCCCGGGGGAGCACCCAGTCAGCGGGTGGTCAGGCCATGCTCCGTCGGCTCTCTGGGCTTGAGCGAGGATTGCCCTTCGTGGCCTGCTGCCTGCAGGGATGTGGGCCGTCTCCTGTCCCCTCCGCTGCCATGGGCTCCCGGGTGGACGCAGGACAGTGATCTGCCTTCTTAGCGTCAGCAACTCAGCCGTCCCTCCAGGGCCACCTGCTCTCCCACAGCACATGCAACGGGGCGATACCTGCTTTCGAGTACTTTCTGTGCCCAAAGTGACCGGTGTCAGTCCAGTCCTGTGTGACCGAGGCCAGGTCACTCAGGTTTTCTGAGCCTCATCCACTTTCCACAGATCGTGAGGGTAATCTTAGTACTGACCTCTTCAGGTGCACGCGAAAACACCAGCTTAGGGGCTGGAAAGCATCTCTCAGGCAGAAATACGTTCCTCTGGCCTCCCTATAATCAGTGTAACTCCCCGAGCCCACCAGAAATGAGCAGGGACAGAGAATCAATCTCAGACAGACAACCATCTCAGAGCTGACAACACAGATCTCAGAAGCCACCCGGCCCAGGAGCCCTTTGGTTTGGGAATCCCATCGGGGTGGTGCAAAACGCATCTGCTCTTTGGGAACGTGAGGGCTCCAAGTGTTACCCCACCAGGAGACCACACAGAAGACGAGAACTGTGGAGAAGCAGAAAGCGTGTGCTCTGCTCAAAAGGCTTCCAACTCAAAAATTTCACACATAATGCTACCCAAGACAGAAGGGGAGAGAGAGAGGGAAAGAGAGAACAAGGGGGGCCGGGAGGGAGGAGGGAGGGAGGAAGGAGGGAGGGAGGA